TCACCTGCGTACTTTGTTGCCAGTAAAATAAATCGGTCTCGTAATTGACGTCGTAAAGTTGGTTCCATTGTACCGTTTTCTATGTCAAATTGAGTAATAATCTTCTCCAAATTCTGTTGTATATGATTCTGATTTGTGACACTTTTTTCCAAGTAGCTCAACAAACCGATAGATTCTAAGCTTTTCTCCGATGACATATTCACCAATCTAGACAACAGTCGATAAGCTCCTGGTACATACTAACGTGTCTGAAAGAAGCTCTTTACCTGCTCCGCCATTGCTGTTGCAACTCGAAGGATTTTTGCGGATGCCACCAATTATTCGGTCTTTTTTGCACGTCTTCAAATGTAAATTCACTCCTATATACGATGGTCTGTAGCTCAACTGGCGTCACGATAGTCATATTGCCTGCTTGTAGGGCTAATGTGTGAAAGAGAAACTCTATGAAAGTGAGAGAGCCACGCCAAAAGGCATAATCACGAACTGCTGATAGAAGTCGAAGACTACAGCCGATGGCACAGACCATGCTTGCAGACCAAGGAGGGACAAATTTTCCGAGTGCTGCATGCCAGTGCCATTTCGTAGCATCTCCATTCATGTTGTATCCGACGGGAGGAATGATCAGATCGCTTGAATTACTGTACAGCTGATGCACAGCGCGAAATGCTTCTATAGAAGGAATAAATACATCATCTTCGATAAACCAAACAAACGAATGATATGTGAACAAGTGGGCAAAATAGAACAATCCCTTGTCCCAAGCTGAGCAAGTCTTTTTTATGCCGATTACATTTGTGTGATGAAACCCGTGTTTCGTGCAGTCTTCGTCTTGCAATTGAATGTATTGCACGATAGATGTGTTCCGAGGAATGAAGGCATTATTGTCGTCGACTACGATAAAGACATCGATCATCAGTAAATGTTCGGCGAGTTCGACAGCGAAATGACTCGTTTCTGGCATCGGTCTTTTAGTAAGAAAGCAGACAGCGGATCGATCGGCGAGCAGCACAGTAACTGGTAGGAATAGTATCGCGACTACACAATGAAATAAGTGATAGGTGTATGGAACGCTACATCCCAATACCAACCACATGAGTATCAAGTAAGAGATCCGAAGATCAATCTCTGTTGGAATCACTCGGAAAAATACTGCAATTAAGCCACTGTACGACAAATCATACAAACGAGAAACCAATAATTCAGGTATTATTATTCGTTTGGAACGGTGTAGATTACACGTAAGTATGCTTTGTATGCTTCGGGAGACGGTATTAAATGAAAGGACCACTCTATTCAAATTCCAG